AGCATTTGGGAAATAGTGATCACAATATGGTAACTTTTGAAATAAACTCAAAAAAGCAAAAGCACGTGGGTTATACTAAAACGTATAATTTTTAAAAAGCCAATTTTAATAAGATTAGGGCAGCTCTACAACATATCGATTGGCATAAACTCCTTAGTGATAAAAACACTGAGGAAAAATGGAAACTATTCAAACAAATATTAGAAAGGTACATTTCTCAGTATGTACCATTGGATAATAAATATAAAAGAAACAAACTAAAACCAATGTGACTTAGTAGATAAGTAAAACAAGAGATTAAAAATAAGAAAAGGGCATTTAAAGCATTTAAATCGGACAAATCAGAAGCATCCTATATAAGAAATAAGGAAGCCTATAATACTTGTAAAAAGGCAATTAAAGTGGCTAAACTAGAAAATGAGAAATTGGTAGCCAAAGAATGCAAAACCAACTCCAAATTTTTTTTCAAGTACATCAATTCTAAAAAAACTAAAAATGAAACTGTAGGTACACTGAAAACAGAGATGGGTCTGTTAGTTAATGAAGACCAGGAAAAGGCAGAAATTTTAAATAACTATTTTTCTTCAGTATATATTAATGAGGATCCTGTGACGAATTGCCCTTTGCCACTTATGCTTGGAGGGGACTACTGGCTAGCCTCCTGCCTTCCGACTATGGCCCCTGTGCTGATAGCTGTATTTTACCCTGCAGAAAGGTTTATTTGTGTATTTCTGCTGGGGTGTTCGGGACTTTCAGTATGTGAGTTGTGCGACCCCAGATAGCTATGCCATGGAGCCTATTCGTGTAACAAAAGACTATGGAAAAGACTTTGGCTCCATGGCGATTGAACTGTATGTATGTGATCTGAGCGCCATTCGGTAATAATGTGCGCTCAGACATAAGCTATCTGGGGATATGTTGCATGTATATGTTTTATGTAGTGATTGTAACATTGTGTAATTTTATGTCTTTTTGTAACCATGTGATTAATGGAGTCTTGTCTCTGTCCTGGGAGATAACTTGATTACTTCCCAATTATCTCCAGGATAGAGAGGAGGGATTGTGATGTCACTGTAGTGTCAGGATATTTATATCGGCAGACATTTTGTGCTAAGATAGAAATTAAAAGTGTATATTGCCAGAGTCACTCAGAACAGAGCAGACTCCATTTTGCTATCTTCAGGATAACAAAGACACATAATTTCCTTGCCTTCACTAACCACTGAGCCTGAACTAAGGAATGCATTATATAAAAACAGACACTAGTGACAGAGAAGACTAAGTAATTAATTTTACTTTCTAAATTTTACAAGGTTCCATTGTAAGTAAGGGGTGAAATTGAGTTTGGAACTGTCAATTTTAGAAATTACGATCAAAGTAGTTGCCACAAAGACTGAGACAAACGCTTTGAACTGACAGCAAATTTAAGTTATGGTAGTCATTTTAGATAAGCCAAATGACGTCAAAATCGTCATTAGGAAACGTTAACTCTTTCCTGGATAGGAAGGTTTAGTGAGGCGAGACTGCCCTCTATGGATCAAATACCTAAATTGCGATCTGAAGGTTGAACACACCTTCAGTTTTCTATTGGCCTTATCAACTAATGATGTACAGAGAGTCTGGCCCTTTAAAAGTTAGGACAAAGGGAAGAGAGAGGGTAGTTGGTGGAGTTTGGGCATTCAGATTGGACATGCAGAGAGATTCAGGACACTCTGGGACTAACACTCAACTCTCAAACTCTCTTGGACGCAACTCAAAAAACACTCCTTGACACTTAGAATTTTACTGATACTTTCTAACCAACACCACTTTTCTCTATTACTCACGCACCTCCTTACAACCAATCATACTCGCATTTTCCTGGGACTTCCTACTCATCTGATGAGAATTCATACATAACTGGTAATTATGCTGTTTTTATTTAATCAATTTAAATTAATTAAAAATTTACTAATAGCATGATATATGACTGGATAAATCACGGTCAGATTTCAATAATTAGAAATCTTAGTTAACTAGAGAATATATAGTTATAAGCATTTCATTCTGTAGGTGGAATTAAGAATAATTATATATTAATGTGATAGTATCACATAAGTGTTAGCATACCGTTGTTTTTATCCAGGTGTATTGATTTGCTCTAAAATAAGATAATATATCTTTTTAAGCAAATTAAAATTCGTCTTATAGAATCTGGTAGATTATTCTTATTGGATGGTTCCAGGAAATGATTAATGAGCTGGTTTGAATGTTATTTTAATTGAAAATTACATGAGAATAGGATACTATATGCCTAGGAGGATCTAGCCAGCATTGAAAGGGTTACTCAGTTGATTTAACTGTTAGCCAAGGTTTTATGACTTTTTGCTGGGCTGTGTGAAATTTTGCTTTCTTTGTACTGACAAATTCCCATTAATCTTGTCTTGACAGTTGATGCTGTAGATTGTACTGTGTTTAGCCATTGCATTGTATACTTATGTTATACTAAATATTCACTGATTAATATCATGCATGCTGCCTAATATTATTGTTATTTAATTTGTCACAATAAATTATATCTATTTTTATAACAAATTGTGATTTTATTTGTATGGAATACATTTCACTTATATGATAACGATCTCTAAGATCTATGAGAATTGAAATAGTGGGCAATTCTCGACTGTTTAATATTATCATCCCATAAATATGTATTGTCTGTAATTGGCTAATATCCAATATGTGTCCCATTGTTCCATTAGGTCCCCTAGGGGAGTGTCCACCTGGTGGACACTTGCATAAATACCGGGTAGGTAGCCCTCAATAAACCAGACCTACTTGCACCTTTCTTGAAGCCTTGGCTCATGCTTGGGGGAGGGGATACCTACACTCTGGGGATTGCTATAATCACTTACTCCCCAGAGTAAGCTCTTGTAAGAGCTTGATTTGTTCCTGCTATGCTCTCTGGATTTAGGAGAGGTTCACCCACTGGGAGCTGGATCCTGGTTGTGGATCCAGGGTGGGTGAGAGACGGCGAGACCCCGGCACAGCTGCATTGCTGGAAGTGGGGTCTGCAGTGCTGATGGTGTCGGTTGGAGTGCTCGGAGTCCTCACCAAGCGCTAGGAGCATCGGAGTGCCAGCGGTCCGTCACAGATCCTA